TTATTTCGGTTGGCTGGAGGCCATTGCTAGTGTTTTATGAACTCTGGATTCTATGGTTGAAAACTATTTAAATGGGCTGATTTTGATGTATGTGTTACCCGGGCCGGAGGCTCGGAGGCCCAGTGGATATGAATGGATTATTGTAGTTGCATGCAACGTCTTACGGGTTGACCCGAGCTTGAAAGTCAATTTCTAAAAATATGAAATTTTCCTTCTACTATAGTAGCTCGTTTTAACAGCTCTCCTTTTCTACCATAGTAGTGAACTTTATGACGAGTTATGATGTTTTGGGAGGTTAAGGGTCTTACACTTACAGTGGGTTTTTTTTTCTTTTTTTCTTTTTTTTGGGGGGGGAGGGTGGGGATATTATATACATGGTGCGTGTGCGCATGTTGTGAACTCACCCGTTTAACTCAGTAAACTCACCAATTTCACATTTTATAATAGCAAATCCTATCTTAGTTCGACCAACATACGTTCTAAATGTTGTATTTTATAAAGAAAGTCTTACCAAAAAAGCCTGAAAATTATTAAATTTTAAACCGTGAATTTATATAAAAATGTGTCCTTATTTGCAAGTAAAGTGTAGTTAAAAGTTAAAAATTATTAAAATATAGGAAACAATCCAAACTTGAGATTTAGTAATTTTTATATTCATTTTGTGTTTTCCCTTATACATATATATATATAAAGCAATTTATTACAATATCAGAATATATAATATATTCCTTTCGCTCCTAAAAATAATATAGTAAGTAATTGAGGGGTCTATTTTAGAAGAAGAGTGCACGCAAGTAAAGGCTATTACTTATTTTATTTATTTGATTCATTCTTACACTGCAATATAATAAAATATAACCCAGAAATTTTTGCAACACCATTGAGAATCTCCTGATGGACTTTCTTCAAAGCAGAACCCTCCCTTGGATAGTCCCCTTTTAGTGCAAGCGTCGTTGCATTGCATTGATCATTAGATTATCCATATAAAGAACAAGGCCCTATGCATAAGAACTGTGGATCATGACGAGTTATTCCATATGCTGGCTCTGCATATTATCATCCAATATATAAATATACATATATATATGTATAAAGTACTTTATTAATAAACTTGGTTACAAAAAACAATTGATCTGATTTTATCTTTACTTTTGAAACATGCTTTTTTTTTTGCCTTGACTATTGAAACATGCATAAGCTTTTAAAAATGTAAAATACAATCACGCAATTTATTTTGTTTATTTTTAAAACATAATATAGAATTTTTTTGCAGCCAATAGATAATTAATTACATATCCAAATCGTCAATATTATAGGGAGAGTCGTCCATATTGTTTTTAAAAACAATACAAGCAAAAATTTGTGTACTTTAATCTTTGTTCTAAAAAGAAAGTTGTGTATAGACATTAAAAAAAGCATAAACGAAAAAATTGTGCAAAAGTCAACAGAAATATTATAATTGAAAGGAGATTTATATGCCTGGGGCAAATATATTTTTGTAACTCTTAGTTTCAATAGATGAATCAACAATAATAAATAATGATAGAAGTTTGTAGGGTACTGAAAATTGGAATAATTAAACCAGTTAGAATAGTAGTTCAAGAGTTAGTGGTTTAAGTTGAGGCCAACTCAAGATTATTAGTCATAATTAAAATAATATTCAAATAAAAATGTATAAAATATTAACATCCTTTAGTATTGTTGAAAATGTTGAAGCTGTTGACACGTTTGTGCGTGAAAAAAAATGTATATTGTTTACTTGTTTTTACAAGATGCATGTAATAACTTTGACAGAATATAATTTTGAATACTTGTATTTTGAGGGGGGAAAACAAACAAAAGAGAAAAGGATTTGATACTCATAGCATGAGAACTGAAATTAGGAAAAATAACAAAAAATATCTACTAAATTTCAAAATAATAAATAAGTGATTTTGACAAATTTTGACATGTTAAAACTATTACTGGAGTAGTAAAATCATTATTCAAAAAAAAATTATTCAGAAAAAAACTAGTACAAGAATAATCAGCATGACATATTTATCTTTCTGAAATTCAATACGTATTTTTTGCCATTTTCTGTTGAAATAAGAATAATTACCTGAGGCTAAAAACAAAAGAAAGCACATAAACATTGCAGTGAAGAGATGGGTTTGAGAAACTCTTGCAGCCATTTTGACACAATTTAATTTCGCCGCTCTAATCTCTTTGATACAGTGTTATGGAAAGTTAATGCTGTATAAGCCTCCATATATATAGAGGGCAAAACTTAAATCCATTTGTTTACATCCATTAAGTCCGTGGATATACATGTTCTAGAACTGTTATGTTTTGCTTATATCTTTAATAGTCAACTGATTAAATGCAGTAGATGCTGCATATACTTGTAGTCTTATATTAGACAAAAGTGTACATTTATTTTTTTATTATTTTAAGAAATATATTTTTAGTCCTTTTAATCTTAAAATTATTAGTATTAAATGATGTGTTTCTATAATAATCATGATTGTTTTGGAAATTAAGCTCAATATGTTAGTATTTAAGAATGTTTTATTGACATTCAAAATCTTAATATCATTTTTTTGTTAACCGGTTTAGAGGTAAATGACTAAAAATATACTTTTTAAAATTAAATAACTAAATTAAAATATTATATAAAATCACTACAAAAAAACAGTCTATTAGCAACCAAAAAAAATTCCGTTGCTAATTTCCAACGGAATATTTTCCGTCGCTAATTTCTGATGGAATTTTGACGGAAATTCTATCAGTAATTTTTTCGACGAATTTGGGACGGATTTTCAACAGACTTTAGCGATGGAATAGTTCCGTCACAAATTCCGTCAGTAAATAGGCTTAGTGATGGAATTTTGCGACGGAATATTCCGTCGCAAAATTCCGTCGCTAATTTCTACTCCTATTGTGTGACAGATTTTCCGACAGAATTTGTTTCCATCACAAAATTCTGTCACAAAATCCATCGCTAACATGAAATTCACAAAATTCTACATTATGATTATAAAATTTGAAAAATTTATATAATATAACAGTGTAATTATTTAGACATGTATTTTAACAATTTATATATCTATATATATAAAATATAATAGTTTAATTATTTATACATATTTCCTGTTGGGAAATAGAAGAAAATTGATATCCTTATTAGACACTTTTTTGAAATTGATTATATTTTTTTGAGCTTGTGAACTTAAATTAAAAATCTGAATATAATTCGTAATATGATTTTATTTTCTTGTTACAATATGATTAATTTTTTTGTCAGATTGCTGCTCTTTCTTTCAACATTAGTGTCAAATAAGTGTCTTTAGATATGATAAGATATGTGAAAAGTTTCTTTAGATATGATGAGATATGTGGAAAACGTAAAGACATGTTGAACTTTAACCTAATTGATAACTTATTTAACAACATATTGAAATATTATTTATTGACTTATTTCCATTGAATGAATAATAAGGGCGCCATAAACTATAGAGTTAAGTTGGAAACCTAATAACGAGGTCAATTTAACTCAATTTGCATATACTTGATCTGTTCGAAAAAAAAGAAAGTTCAAAAGAAGTTTTGGCAAGGTTAGTTTAGATCCAAAAGCGAGTATGTTGGGTTAGCTTCATTATTTGACTAAAGTACTCAACTGATGGTCCATGTTATTAAATATAATCTATAGTGTGTGTGTGTGTCCTAATTCTCGTTTGCGACTTGGAGTAATAGTAAATGCTCATTTGATAATGAAATTATATATAAGAATATTTAAGATAAATAAGGGGATGGTAAAGTATAAAAAGAGAATCAATATCTTGAATTTCTAAACCAATAATTATAAATATTTTTAATTTCTTTTTAGTCATCTTGAAATTGAGAAATGATAATTAGAAAAGAAAATTAGAGATTATAGAGTAGATCTAAGACTATAATAAGAAAAATCTTATTAGATCTAAAAATTTTATTAGAATATTATAAAAAGCTTGACAACTTTACTTAAAAAAAAAAAATTCATCCTGGTAGCATATAAGTTAGAGATTCTGCCCCTATCATTATAATCCTGTGGATTAAATTTAATTTGTAAATTTCATATTTAAATATATCTATATTTTATTGTCAAAGATTTCAAATATATTTGTATTAAATTTGATAAAAATATTTCGAATAAACTGCGGTTTAAATCTTTATTATTGAAGTGTCTTATATTTATGTTTTTTATTTTAACATTATTATATTCTTTTTAATGCTTATTTCTTGATATATCTTATATTTATATCACTATATATATGTATGATATTAGTTTAACATTATTGCACAGTATTTCTATATTATTATTACTATTTAGGTTTTGAGGTATGTATTAATTTTCTCTAATTACATGCTTAGATGGGAAAAAAAAGGAGGGAAAGTTGAGAGGGAAGGTACTGAAAGATAGAGTGTGTGAGAGAGAGATGTGATATAATTAAAAGTGAGATAATATATGTGAGAGAGAGGTATTATAATTAAAAGGAATAATTTTAATAATTAATTTATCATTTTAATGCTAAGTATATTTTCTATAATAACAATTTTATTTTATAATTTTTTACTGAAGAAACATTTAATTAGATTTATATCTATATGTGTATGAAAAATCTTGCCCCTCCAAAATATTCGCATGTTCCCTCCGTTTGCAAAGGTAAAATTCATTTTCCCTCCACAAATATCACAAATTTGCTCTCTTCAGGATTTTTTTTCTAATTTCCTTCTTTTAAAAAATTACAAGAATCGCAAGAGGAGGAGCCAAACCACTTCTAAGGGTTTCCTCAACGCCTAAGGGTTTATTTCTCTAATGAAACCCCTTCACCATCGTCTGCCAGTCCAGCAAAGGCACCTCCAATCCTCCACTCCTACTCTTCTTCCATTTCCCCTCCTCAGATCAAATTGCGCCTGAATGTGCAGGTTTTGAGACTCAGAGTGTCGGCCTTCTGTTTGTGTTGTTGTGTCCATTCACATTCTTTGGTTTCCTCTTCAAAGTTTAGATTCTACTCCGTTTTGTCAGCCTCCTTTATGTTCATCGTCAGCGTTCAGATTTGTCACTGGGTAGCTTCTTGGCATTCTATTTCTTGTTTTCATCTTCTGGTTCAGATTCCCTTTTAGATTTCATTTTATTTGTGGGTTACTTTTTATTTCAAGGTTCAGATCTCCCTTCTAGTTTTGTTGAAAATATTTCTACTGGTACTAAGTGACTGCCTTTTAGTACTACCTTGACTAGTGACATTGCACAGGATTAGTACTTCATTTGGTTGATTGGATTCTCTGCAAGTCATTCTGGGAGATGGAAAATGAGGTACACATTTAGGCAAGCTTTAATGTATATTGGTCTTTGATATATATGCTTTTTTATTGGAGTTTTATATTTGTTTTATATTTATTGTTGTATACAAACATTTGTAATTCCCAACCCTTATTCGTAACTTCTGTAAATTAGGCCTTTTTGCTTTCATTTGCTTTTTTTGGTTATTCGTTTTATATTTATTGTTGTATTATTGGAATTGGCTTCTATCAAAGAAAGCTCATTCTTCGAGCTATCAAAGTACAAACATCTGATTGTGTTGTTGCTTCCATATTACGTTCATCATAGTCGGTAGATGAGTGTTGTGCAATGGTGATGGCACAAGCATTTGGTTGCTCTTGATGTAAAACTCATGAAATGAGAATGTTGCAAGTTAATCATGTGTAAAGCATCCTAGTTTGTTTATTTGCATTATAGATTCAATTACCTAACTAAAAAAATCTCCCCTCATGTAAAGCTGATATAGATTTCACTCTGATAGTTGCAATGCTTCAAGGCATTTGGTCACTTATGACGAGCCTGTCAGTGTAAAATATAAATGAAGAGTATTGCTTGGATATTGCCAAAACATACTGGAATACTATTAATCTAGCAAGCAGATGATGTATTAGACTCATCATGATTTAAAAGAAATTAAAAATACTTGTAGCAGGGGAATCTTCATTGAGAACCTCATGGGGACCAGTATATCGATACTAACATGTATCAATTGAATTCCACCACTAAACTTATACTTTTACAAAATTCTTTCAATATGCATGCAGTTTTAACACTAAAACTTTAGCTCTTTAATTTATTATGGTTTATTAGCTTTAATGATTTCTAATTTTTTCCTGATTGTATTATTAATTTTATATTGTTAGGATGTCATTTCATTAGGATGGTCAAAGATACTATCAGATTAGAATCTGATTTTGAGTTATTACTACAAGCCTAGCCCCAACTATATGCATTGATCATTCCAAAGGAAATAAACAAGAGCTGAGATGTTAATCTCTCAGCAGATTACAACTTAAAAAGATTGCAAACATCTTATCCAAAATGCCTATAATTTCAGCCTCAAACATTATGAGCATTATTACCTGAAACAGCAAAACACTTTCCTACTGATTGAGCATTCCATAACTATTATGCAGATTTACATCACTTTTGCAATACCATAATTGGGCAAATACATGTAAAATCTGTCATTACATGAGATGCTTGGTTGCTTAGAATATTAAGGGACTTATGATGTACGTATATATTGTCTATATATAGAGTTACCAATTATTGAAATGCTTGGTTGCTTGGTGAGTGCTTTTTTTTTCTGGTTTTAATTTGTTGACTTGATTGTGTGTGTAGGGTTGGATTATAATAATTTGACATACAGCAGCTCCTTTGATAGAGTTAGATAGAGGTCTAGTGGCAACCCAAACACAAGTTGTAGAACTATTCAAGTAAGGTGACCATTTAACTGTTAGTTGGGTTGATGTATAATGTTTTGTTTTTTTTATCTAGCTTGATATATGTTGTTTGATTGTTGTTGGTAGGTAGTCTCAATACATTCCTATCTCTTACATTTTTCAAAATCTTTTTCAGTGTTTTTTTTTACCTTCAAAGCTATCTATTAATGATTGTTTAGCAAGTCTTGTCTTTGGTAGGAGTTGTCCTTAAATAAAACTTGTTAGTTTCTTCATATACAAATGTTGACATTTAACTTTGCTTATTCATATATGTATGTGTGTGTATTTGTTTGCCATATATATTACTTGTCTTCTCCAATTCTTACATATTATTATTGCACACCTCTTTCTTAGAATGGAAGGCCCAGAAAATCAAAGATGGATGTACAATAGAATAGATCAGTGCACTAAATGGGTTGCAATAGAATTTGAGCAAGGTGTACAGGAGTTTCTTACTTATGCAATGCAATCACCTTATGGCCAAAAATTGGGGAAGCTTAGGTGTCCATGTGTGAAATGTAGATGTAGGCCATATCTCATTCTCGATGAGGTGAAGACACATATTTATAAATATGGATTCATGCCAAACTATTATATATGGACTAGTCATGGTGAGAGAAGTATAGAATATCATTCACCCATGTCTCCAATGCTAGGTGGACCACTTGGTGATCAATTAAGTCAATATGAGACCATGGTGATGGATGCAGCTGGGCCGAGTCTTAGGGATAACTATAATAAAGGTGTTGAAGAGATGCCAAATCCTAATGCACAAGCATTTTATGACATGCTACGTGCTGCAAAACAACCTTTATGGAAAGGTTGTGAAGATGAATCTCAACTTTCAGCAAAGCGATTGTTATACAACCACTCCATTCACTTTACACCTGGCTAGAACTCGCTGGAAACGAATAGCTGCCACAAAACACACAGTTAGCCTCCATCACATGGCACTGTGTTTTGGGCGTGGGCTAAGGTTCTTCAATGAACATATTATACGTAGAGACACTTGTTTTTCAAAGATTCAATCATATAATAATGTAAAAGTTCAACTTATAATGTGTTTGTTAGTACAACTAATATCAAATACTTGAAAATTAGACCTAGATTTTGTCATTGTTTAGAATGCTTAGAGATGATCATTTTATAGTTAATATTAATGTTATTGTAGACTTTGTAGCTTAGGCTATGTGATTTTTTTTGGCTTTTCTATTGTTTAGTGATCATACCAGAAAAAGATTTTTCTTTAATCTGACTTCTCTTCATTTTTGTTGGGAACTATGTTAGGTGCATTCTCATGGTATAGGAGTTCATACCACGCAAATGGTCTTACCATTGGAAATTGCAGAGGACCCTGTTTACATTAATGCCAAGCAGTACCATGGAATTCTGAGGCATAGGCAATTACGTGCCAAAGCAGAGCTGGAAAAGAAGCTAATTAAAGGAAGGAAGGTATTCTGGCAATGTATAGCCGATATGGTTTCCTTTTGTTATGTTTGCCCCGACTAAATGTAGAATACGACTTGGTCAAACATTTTCTCAATGTCGACATAAAAAAGGATGCTATGAGAACAAACACTTATATAGTTAAAAGCCACATCCAATATGCCCTGGGCTGGGAGGGTGACGATGGCAGTAAGTTGTGCTTGTTGCCAATTTCTGTTTTGCATTACTTATTATGCCTTTTTCTTCATACTTGAGGCTTCGTGTAGGACTATCAGAATGAGCAAAGTGATATGAGTGGCTCATTTTGCATTACTTATTATGCCTTTTTCTTCATACTTGAGGTTTTAACCTTAATGTTCTTAAATTTATGACATTTTATTGTATGGGATTATTTTTAAATTCCAAATTGTTTCTTATAAAAAAAATTGAACTATTTGCAGTTTAAAAACTTTACTTATTATCATGAAATTTATTTCTTTCTAAACAATTTATTAAAAAAACCTATTTAAAAAAATAACTGAAATTTTTTTGTTGCAAATCAAAAAATAAGCATAACAATTGAAGAAAAAAAATTTGCGACTGATTTGCAAGGAATTTATGTTGCAAATTCTGTAGCAAATGTGTGTGAGTTAGCGACGGAAAATTCTGTCACAAAATATAGCAAGTTAGCGACAGAATTTTCCATCGCTAAATGCGGTACTTTGTGATGGAATATTCGGTCGCCAATTCCGTGGCAAATAACGTAGAATTAGTGACGGAAATTCTGTCGCTAAATGCAGTATTTAGCGACGGAATATTCCGTCGCAAAATTAGTAACGGAACACAAAGTCCGTCGCTAAACCCATTAGTGATGAGGTTGTTTGCGGCAGAATATTTTCCTTCACTAATACTTTATTGATGGAATTCCATCGCTAAATTCCGTTGAAATAGATTTAGCGACGGAATTTATGTCGCTAATTTCCATCGCTAATAGCTTGTTTTTTTGTAGTGAATGAAAGGACTAAAAATATATTCTAGCCCATTTCTGCAATTTTTGTTTTCGTGAGAACCATCTATGAAATTTTATTAGTTTTATTTTGCGATACCTTAAGTGTGAGATACTAATCCCGAAACTTAAGTAGACTATTAATGACAGAGAATCTGATCTGCGCAAGGGATATGTGGAAATCAAAATAAAATAGACTACTGAAATAAAGATAGCAAGAAAGTAATAAACCTCAAAAGTGAAAAAGAAAAAGGAAAAAAAACAATGCTTGATGTACTAAAAATAATATCAAGGTGCTGAATGTATCAAATAAAAAAAGATCAAAATGTTGGATGCACTGTAAAAAAAAAAGGATATTGGATGTATTTAAGAAAAAAGATCAAGATGCTGGATGCATCTTCACTCTTCAAAATTTACAATTTAAATATGACTAGTAAATGACGCTACACAATTTATAAGTGGGGTTGGAAAGTTGAAGAATTCAAAAATCTGGAGAATAAAAAGCATGGGTAATTTGGTATTTTGCTTAATAGTTTTGCAGGTTGGTTCTATTTCGTCTTCTTCTCTTATCAAGAAAGGGAAAGATTGCTTTTTCTATTAAGAAAACAATGCGTAGAATAACTAGCATGACGCATCATACTCAATGTAAACCTTAAATGTGTTCCTACAGAATCAAACGCCATTAGCCTACCAAGGATTAATTACGTATACAAGGGGAGGAGTTAAAAGTATATCAAAATCAAATCAAGAGCATTAAACGTAGGAGTCAAGATACCAAAGAATTGGGTCTAACAGAAGAAATTAATCCTTCAAAATATGATGAATTAAAATTCGAATTCATAATTCATTGTCATGAATTAAATCACATTGGCTAAGATGGTGAAGATGGTGGCAAATACATGTTTGGGATTACTACTTTCACAAATTACTTTTGCATTTTATGAAACAAAACTCTCCTCATATATGTATTTTGTAGAGCACAAAATCATTTACAATAAGTTAAATCAAAATCTTTTGCTTCTCAACCCTTTCTTGTAAGTGCATATCGATGTTAACTTCTGTGAGTTTCCCCAACATGATGAGGCCACATCATCAATTGGTTAATCGTGGTTTTTAACACATGTACATACAATTGCTAGGTAACTTGCCTTATGAATCTAGAAAATAACTCTTGTGAATTTTCAAATTCAGCATTAATAATAACATTAATTGATTACCCTGTATTGTCAAATTCAATCGTCAATTTTCGTTACATAACTATTGTGAATTTAATTGGAATATCACTAAATTCATTTTCGTGATATGTTTTAAAATTCTTAATTTCTTTTAATAAGATAATATCATTTTAGAAGATTATTCAAATAATATTTATAATGGTTAAGATTGAAATTTATCCCAAGTACTAGGCATCCAGAAGTTTTTTCTGGGTGCAAATTTACTTCTAGAAGTTTAAAATTGTAGTAGCTAGTTATTGTCTTCTATTGTATTAAAAAAATAGTTAATATTACTATTTTAATGGTCGGCATTAGTTTTTTAACTATAGGGGATAATATTGCTATGATTTTAAATTTTTTAGGCAAACTTGCACCCAAAAAAACTTTTAGATATCTAACGCTCCTAAGTAAAAATTTACGGAGTAAATTTATAACTTAACCCTATTTATAATACATAATCCTTTCTTAATTCACGATAGCATTAGGCAACTAATTGCAATTGCAAGTTTTTTCAAATTTAAACTTTAACTCCAGATTTATCCAAATCTAATCTAGATGATCAAATTTAATCTCAAGGACAGAGATGAGATCCCGCACCAAGCTGTTAGGTTTAAGAGTGTCATGTTTTTTTAGGATTAAGCTACAAATTTGTTCCGGAAGTTTTCATTCAAGAGTGTTGGGTACCCAGAAGGATTTTTGAGTGCAAATTTGTTTTGAAAGATTAAAATCATAGTAATATTGTCCCCCTACCATTAAAAATGTTAATGATCAATATTACTATTTTAACGGTCAATGCTATTTTTTTAATAATACATCGTAATATTACTACGATTTTAAAATTTTAGAACAAATTTGCAAAAAAAAAAACCTTCAGGTGCTCAGTATTCTCAAATGAAAACTTTTGAAGTAAATTTATACCTTAGTCTTTTTTTAAAAAAAGGAAAAAAAAAAAAGAAAAGAAAAACGTTCCACTTCTAGTATATTCATTTTAATATTCTCCTATCTTTGAATTGGCATATACATTCTTTGCGTATCAGATTTTGTTTTGTCATTAATAGCACTTTACATTCATTCTATCCTTTTGTTTTGTTTCAAGTATTTAGATAAGCATTATATTTAAGCATGGTTTGAAAAACTGGACTGGACCCCATTGGCCGGTCTGGTTTTTAGTATCTTATCTTTAAGATATAATGTACTAATTAATAATCTGTATAATTAATTGCATTTAATCTAATCATTTATAATTAACGATATCTAGAACATAAAGTTGTATGCTATTGAGAATACGTGATCGATCTTGATCTTCTAAAATCCCTCTTATTTTCTTCTCAAAATCTCATCTCCACCTTTAGATAAAAAATGAAGTATTGAAATTTGATATTTTATAAATCTATTATTACAATATTACATCAAAATGAGAGAGAAGGTGGATATCTATTTGTTAACATATTTGTTAAAATATTAATTTTGAACCATCTATTTTTTTTTTTCCATTTAAGGGTGGAGATGAGATTCTAAGGGGAAAAAAAATGAGAAAGAGGAATTCTAAGAGCAACCAAAATCATAAAGTTATATATAAAGGCCTATACGTCATTGAGTTTTATTATCCATAAATCAAAAAATCAATTTTGAGAGGCAAACTGAAGTTGAGAGAGAATGGCATCAAGAGTTTCTCACACATATCTCTTCAGTACGGTTCTTGTATTCTTTCTTCTTGTTTCTGCATCAGGTGATTATACATTCTTTTTTCCATTTAACTTAATTTATGTTATTGCTTCATACATGAAAAGATTTTAATTTTATTTTTATATTATTGGATTATCATATGAACATCACTCAAGTTTTTAATTTTATGAAACTGAGTGATACTGTGTCAGACTAACAGCTAAGCTCTTCAAATCTCCATTCATATTTCATATGAAATACAGTTTTTGTACGGATTCATATTTCTAATGAAATAATTTTTTTTAAAAAAGTTTTGCACGGGTTTATTTTGGAATTTGAATCCTTCCCCCCATAATTTTTTTTTTCCTTTTCTTCTTCGCGTTCCTTCTTTACACTTGGATTAAGAATTATATAAACAATCCTCTTTTGGGAATAAGATAATTTTATGTAACGAAAATTTTTAAGACTGTTAATACTTATTTAATGGTAAGGACTACCGAATCTAACGGCAGAAATTTAGAGGATTAAACAAAATGGGGAAAAAAAAAGCTTAGGAACCTGATTTAAAAGGATCTCCGACTCCAAATTGATTTTTCCTATTTCTTATAATTAAAGTAAAATATAAAAATAGTCCGATCGTTTTAGCTTTTAGATTGCATTTGAGCACTTGAGAAATATAAGCATTGAAAATTAAACATGATTTAATTCCATCTAGATGTTGGTTTGAAAAAATTCAAGGCAGATATATATACTTCATTTTTAAGGTTGCGTATAATCGGAAGAAGTAAAGATATTTGTAAAAATAAGTTTTTAAAGGAAGGAAAAATGCCCATATGATTTTAGCAAAACTCAAAATATCTATTCCTTCAATCCCTTTTATTATAAAGCTTTTAAAAGAGATTTGTTTTATCCTTTTTCATAAGGTACCATACAAGACATTTCTTATTACGTTTTTCTTCATATTTTTCTTATTCATTATTATTGTAATCGATTAATGTTTTTAAAACTGGTCTGGACTTCTCAAAGCATGTGAGTATTGTTGAAAAATTTGTTAATTTTCAGAGTTAAAGGGTTTTAAAATTCTCTTTAATTTTAATAAAACTATTGAAAGTAACTTATACAACACCATTGAGGGAATATATAATTACTCAAATCATTTTTATTGAAGTTTTTTTTTTTTTTGCCATCATCATTCTTTTTGAACTTGACGATATCAAATATACTAATTTTATTGGAAAAAATTAAGTGAAAAGTTTTGAAACAATATTAATGAAATGCCTTAGTGATACTAATGCAGGACCAGCAAGCGGATTCACTGATCCACTATTAGCATGCCAGGGGCCATGTTCTGCTGCTTCATCTTCTCAATGCAATCTATTATGCCTTAACAAGGGATTCCCAAAGGGAGGGAACTGTGTTGCCATGAGCGTCTCAGATCCTCCTCAATGTTGTTGTACAAAATAATTGTCATCTCAAAGCTAGTTGTTATATATGGATCAATAAAAACTTTATATGATTTTGCCTATTTATTTTTGAGAAAATTTGGAAGAGTTCTCATTAGGAAAAAAATTAGGTCAAATTTATTATTTTTATTATGTCAAATT